GAATAAAAAAATATGGGGGTACCTGCTACCAGAAAGGGGTGAAATTTCATGAAAATATTGTATTTTTGAAATAGGAATTGACGTGTTCTTTGACATTTTTGGTCACCCATCTGTTTTTGAGTCAAGGGGGGGCAATTTTTTTTTGAAACCATGCATGATATTACTCACCGTCAGTGGCCATTATAACTTCATATCTGTAAGTTGCTCCATGGTGGGCAGAATTAACGCAATTATCAGCTGGAAAATTGAAATAAGATTAATTTGTTGAAAAAAAATTATACCATTTTCATTACCATCTATGTAGAAGATCTGATACTTATGGGAAAAGCCTAGAAAGCGAAAACATATATTATGAAAAGATAGAGAAAGAGTTACCATAAGGTACGCAACACGAAAAAATTAATACAAAAAATAAAGTATATGTACGTGGCTGTTCAAAAAATAAGGTGAATGTTTACATTTCGCGGTCTATGTACATTTGTATAGCGATTTTTTATATTGATGAAAGACATATAAGTCAGAAGTTTTTTGAGAGTTCGGCTTGTGAAAAGCAATACGAAGAAATTCGCCAGTATTGTTGGAAAACAATCCATATGAAGTATATAATACATACACGAGAAAACTGAAAATTCACCTTATTTTTTGAACAGAGTGGCAGAGGAAAGTCGCCTAATATGGGGTAGTTCATTGTGAATTCTTCGTTAGGACAAAAGATGTCTTTCCAAAAGAAATGGAGTCAATGAAAAAACGAAGAAATGGATTTTTTTTTTTAATTACTCGAAAAAACGTGTGCAGATTGGCATACAGCTTATGCAAGGCTAATAATATAAAAAATCCATTTAGCGTAGCAAAAGAAAGTGCTGAGAAGAAATGGTTTTTTGGATTTAATGCAAGTCACAAAGAATTGTCATTGAGAACGCCCCAAGGAATATCATATGCGCTTATTGAATCATTTACCAGAGAAAATGTTGCAGCATTTTTTTATTTGTATGATCCACTTCTTGAAAAAAAAATCAAAATCCAGCCAGGATCTTCA